GAAATGGTTGAATACTCACACTTCGATATTAACTCCCACCATGCATACTATTATCCAGAGATAAATACAAATGACTGCTGGTAGCACATCATATTTAGGAACAACAACAAACAAATTTTCTGAAACAAACAGATTTTCTGAAAAGAAAAGCCACAGATTTGAAAAAAGGGATTCGGAAGGGAACAGAAGGAAAAACTTAAAACAAAACAGATAACATATAATTTGCAAGTCTGAGGCATAGTAGCTATTGTAAATCTAAAGAGCTCGCTCCGTACACTTTCACGCGGCATAGAAAATGCAAGCTCGTCCCGTTTTCTTTTTTTGTTGCATGTTCCACTTTTCCATAGATCCAGCCTTAGCAAACCTGAAAATTTATTCTCCGACATCACCACATTCGTTTACCACAATCAGGTCAAGAATCTTTTGTCGCGATATCATGTAATGCTCATCTATATAGGGGAGAAAGATCCCAAGTACTATGCGACCCTGGTGAGATACCAGAGCTATGCAATCGATTTTTTTACAATATCACTACGCACATTTCCTGTTGAATTGACCACATTTCGTTTCATTACTAAACCGAGTTACACGGCTGTAATATGTACTGTTCCCCAAAACCAATACTATTCGAAGATACATAGACCACCCTTCGATGAGACCTTAATCCTTTTCATTTTCAACCTTATGTTCTCCACGACACGAACAACCCTTATGTCCAGAACGGTACCGTGCATACACACGATCGCGGCACTTCATGAGTGATGAGCTAACTGCTCGTGAAAATGCCAGACCCACGAGCTCATGATACCTACATTGCAGCCTATAATCCTGACACGATTCCGATTGCCGGTGCAATGTATTATAGGCATCATCAGCCTTTATGGCACTTACCTTCCCGCTCACAATCCGTCCAAAATCGACCTACAAAAATCAACGAGTACTCACTATTTTTGTGTGGATTTGGAGCTCTCACAATGGGTTCTGCACTTTATATATCTGTTCGGTTCCATACTAAAATAAAGTGATTGGGAATGTTAGGGGTATACTTGAAATTGGAAACGGGTCGGTATACGTGTGAAACTCATTAATTCTGAATGAATGAGATAATGCAGTGAAGCAATTCTGTAATTACCACCATCTCCATCCTTCTTGACAATACCAGCGTAATCCTCTTTGAATAGTGTTACAACGACAACACAGCTGATAAGTGAAATAATGACCATAAAGAATGCAGGAACTGTGTACATATTCAGAACAAGAGGCCCTACGTGATATCCATCATCACCGATAGGAGTGAACCCAGCCTAGAAAAAGGTTGGTTGAAGAGAAGCCCAAAGCAATGCAGCACACAACTTGAATTGCGAAGCAGTTGACAGCTGGTGTTACTGTTACTGGTCACTGAGAACCCCACTCAATTAAAAGGTGATACAATTTTTTGCTAATTCATCTCCTCGTATTGAAGTCAGATGTACAGCCACAGCACCGCGTTCCTTCATAATTGTTCATCTAATGCTTGCAGAGCGTGGCGATGGGTGTGGTGCAGTAGGAACGAAATTGGAAAGAGGAACGTCGCGCGCGAATTAATATATGTAGCAGAATGCGGCAGCAGGTAAGAAATACAAGAACAAGGAGACAAATGAACAATTATAGAGGAAGATAATAGTGGAATCATGTCTAAAATAAAGATTGCATATCGATTGAGCTGTATCAAGAACGCCAGAGCTGTAATAACGGCGAAAGAGTGGTCCGCGACAGCCGCGTGCGGCGAATCGACTACAGGAAACCGACCTTACTGCCCTTCTCCTGCGCGACGATGAGTCATAACTCTTAAATTTCATAGACCTTATAACTCACGTCTCTAGTTTTCTCTCAACCAATGGGACTATATACGAATAATTTCACTGTGTTGGTGTATTATACTTTTAGCATTTATTGCCAAATGTTTGACTGTACAGATTAGATCCCAAAACGTAGCCCGTTACACCAAAGGCCATATGAGAATAATAATGTAAAGCGGTGTGTACATTCGGGAAAAGGGCATGAAATTGATCTAGAGAATGTGTACCTGTAGGGCCGGGCCGAAGGAAAGCCCGAGCACGAATCCTGCGGTTCCGAGTGAAACAACTCGGAGCCGATCACGAGGTACAGAGGCCGTTGCAGCATAAGTTCTCAAAACCGTCAATGTTCCTAAAAGATCTTACTCTGCATGACATTCGGGTTTTGTTCCGCTACTTCATGATGTATGCTGATTTCTTCTTTTCATATTTATCATTCCGTTATCCATTATCATCTTTTATAATAAGAAAATTCAAAAGGGCAAGTCGTATACCTGCCCCGAACCCTGTAACTACTCGAGCGACCATCATTATCCATTTCTGATTAGAATTGAACAGTGGGAGCAGTCCATAAAGACATTGTCCTGAACGAGAGTCATTTTGAACGATTAAAGGATAAACTCTTGAGTTTGAAATGTGTTTGGGAATGCGTGCCGCAATCAATCGCGCGCGGGACTAGACGTTTTGAAGCTCTCCGTTTCCCCAGCACAACGTTAAGCCGCACTGTCCCACCGCTGACTCTTTCTTCTGCGATGTACCATTTTCTCTTTTCTCAGGGTTTTTTTCTCAGCATTAAGTTCCAAACAGGTGTAAATGAGGTAGGCATCAGTTTTCTACTCTCATCAAGTCTGGTTTTATGCATACTGCATACTTAGGAGTCAAAATGGATCAGCTTGCTGTAGACGACTTGTAGAGTAGTTTTGAAAGAGTTTTGTCAAGTCCGATCGCAATAACGCCTTAGTATTTTCTACGGATAATGTATCTGATACGAAAAGTGAAACGTTATCAGTATCAGACAGCGAGAGTGAAGACGAATGGAATAGCGATGTAGAAGTTTGCGATGGTTTAGCATCCACCAGACAAGATGTTCTTCATGATTGTTTACGAAGTTTCCACGAACCGATTGACTTTTATGTACCTTATTTAAATGGATAGATGCTTTCGCTGATTGTCGGAAAAAATGAATAGAGGGGAGAGCGAAGGATTCTTATTCTCAAGATACTTCACCAGCAAAATCAAAAAGTTCATCGGATTACGCATACAAATGACATTAGTGCAGATGCCGAAGATGAGGAATTACTGGAGTACCAGATCTGCTATTGGTGGGCACTAGATCGCTGAGAAAGTGATGCCAAGGGCGCGATTCGAGCAGTTGTTGAATTCTTTTCATTTTGCCGCCAACAATCAATTCCATGGCAACAGGCTTTATAAGATCAGTTCTGGGGCTGTTCAGCACGAAATGTGAGAGAGCTTACAGACATGAGAAAGAAATTTGCATTGATTAGACTTAATACCATACCAAGGCAGAATAGTTTTTAGGCAATACATCCCCTTCAAGAGGCTTGAATATGGAGTAAAACTTTGTAAGCTATGTTGCAAAGGTCCTCATCCACAGAAGATCAAGATCTACGCAGGGAGACAGCCTTCAAAAAAGGATCCAGTGGCTGTATCTGTGGTCATGGAATTGATGGACGGCTTGTTGAATCAAGGTGGACATGGAATGCACCGATAAATGGAATACGAATATACCGCTGGCTAATAGCTCATTGAGACGCGGCACCCACTTGTGCGGGACTTTGAGAAAAAACAGGAAAGGAATACCGACAAAAGTCAAGTTCAGGAGGTTGAAAAGCGGGCGAGTGTGCTATCAACAAAAACAGAGGAGGTTCTAAAGTGGAAGGATAGCGCGATTTGTTCGCGATTTCCACGAGGTATGATGTGCCCTAACTCCTAACGAAAAGTCGTCGAAGATTACAATAAAATCAAGAGATTGTCGAACAAAAAGACCAAATGTCTGCTTACACTTCCTTTGTGAGGAGAACTACTAAGTGATATCTCAGGATTTTCTTCCATGAGATGACGCAGACGTAATTAACGATCTCGGAGGGAGGCAGGGCTCGGTTGGCTTGGTTATACCAATACAATTGCATGTGAAACAGTTGAGCTGCTAGAAGTATTTTACTTTTGTGGAGACTTTTGTGCTGGAATGACACAGGACGGTTCGTAAACTACTCGAAGGATGTCATACGTGGCTAGGATGGGAAGCGTCAACAAAACCAAAAACATTAGCTCATTAAATCTGAAAGAGTAACCGGA